TACTGAGTACTTATCAGGAGCTATTCTAAGTACTGGGAGAATCAGTGATGAACAGGGCAGATAATGTCATCCCAGCCTTCATAAAGCTCAGATCAGAGGAGCCGAGCTGTGAACCCTGAGAAGGAATACATCTGCCAAAATAAACTCATGTTTAACAGGGTCCAAATTCATAATCAGTGTATAGCAGCCATTGTTTACAGAGGCCTCTCAAGCACACTGCATATCAGTGAAAAGCTGCAGACTGAGCTGCCAAAACTCTTGCACAGTGTTTCTGCCTTCTGAGCTGAACCTTATAAAGGGGTCTCTTGAATCGTATTTCAACCAATGGGCTGAGACCTGCCTCGTCCAATCAGAACTGCACAGCTAGATGCGCAATTCCAATTAATCAGGACAGTGCTATTTGGACCAATCAAGTGTGCAAATTTGGATTCCTCATTTGCATAAAAATGGACCAATCAGGGACCAGGTGGGCACTCTATATAAGCCAGCCTCCGCTTTGGCTCCAGGGAGTGCACTTTGGTTTCCACCCCAACCTGTGTTTCCCCATTTTGCAAAGTGTTTTCCTAAATAAAGTTTCTCCTTGTGCCGAACCCAACTGGGGACTCCTGTTGGCATCGGACTGGTGGCAGCGACCTTTTGTTGACAGAATGAATGCACGAGGAATTAAGGAACAAGCCACTTTTCGCTGGTGATTAGTAGTATGAAGGAAATGACACCTGGTGATGACATAGAGCGGGATGGGGAGGCCGGCTACTCTCAGCAGGTCTCAGCAGGGTGGTCGGCCTGGCCTCCCAAGGTCAATTTGACCTGGGCCTACATGACTAGTTGAGCTGGGCATTTAAGGAAAAGGGCGAACAAGTCTGAAAAAATACTAAGCTAAGCAAAATTAAGTAGAATTATATATGGAGGAGTCCTGAGGGTTTGAAGTTAAGTTAACTGGTTCATGAGTTCATGTAACACATCATTTTATTGAACCAGGCAGTGTTCTTGGCACAAGGAATACAGTGCTGAACAAAACAGACAAGGCCACTAGTGTGTGGTGCACCGTTGGTGTGAGATAGACAATACAAAGGTAAACAGATACACATAACAATTGGGATGTAAAAGCAGTCTCAAGAACAGAGCAGGTAAGAGGACAGAGGTATGGGAAGACCTCTCAGAGGTGTTGATATCAGAACAGAGACCCAATACGCAGGATGAACCAGTGCGTAGCATTTCCCAAACTAAGGTGGCAACGGAACCCCTTTGTGATAGAGCATCTTGCAAGACTCCCGCTTCTCAGAACTCACTTTGAGAAATGCTAGCGTGGAGACAGATGAAGCGTGAAGCTGGCACCTTCACATTCCAGCAGGGCCCAGGTTGGCACGACAGAACGAAGACTATGACTGTCATGAATGCAGAATATGACAGTTCATGTAGGAGTCCCCCTGCCAATGCAGATGAGAAAACGAGAGTGACCGATAGGTCCCTGCTCAGCGGCAGGATTAGCAAAGCCCTGCGCACATTCTCCCGGCTGTCCCGGATTCAGCCTCCGTCCTGCTGGATTCACAGAGCTGAAGCATACGATGAACTCATGATGACATGAGCTGGCCTCTGCAGCATGAACAGATGCTGGCTTTCACATGTCCCAGAGAGCAGAGGATAAGAACAGGAATCTTCTCCTCAGATGTTATTTTGTGAAGAATGCATCTTTGTTTTTAAAGTGTATCTGGGTGACAACGATCCATGTCCACATTGCCCGAGATCTTTACCCAAGTCTTCTTTTAGCCTTGATAAAGAAATGAATTCTACACCCCAGGCCTAGACACAAGATCTGGGGCCCAAACCAGGGCACACTCTGTACTCACGGAAAGTACACACCCTGAGAGACAGACTCATATTCTCTCCAAGGAGCCACAGGGAGTTTCTCTGAGAAAGAACCCCGCCGTCCCTGCAATGTCCTTTCCTGTCTAGAAAAGGCAGTCTGGACTTTGTCACAGCTCACATCAGACGAGGCCTATTATGTATTCAAGTCCCGCTGCAGCCAGCCTTCCAGCATGCATCCCGCTCTGGCAGAAACGCCTCTCCCAGGAGCAGGCTCCGTTCATGGTAAGCTGGGCTCCAGGTCTGCTGGAGGCGGTGATGCCATCACCGCTGGCAGGTGGTGATGCCACTCACCTTCCACCTCCCCTAGGTGAGGAGTCAACACAGAGACAGATGGGAACAGTATTCCCACGGGAACCGCTGTTTGTTCCGAGCCTGTTTCCCAGGGGGAGTGAGATGACCAAGCACACCTGTGGTTTCTCTGCTTGGATGCTCTCCCTGCCCTTTGTCACCTTCTTGTCCTCCTGTCATCTTTTTCATCTCAGCTCAGTGTCACTTCTTCTGGGAAGCTGTCTCGACTGGATTCAATCCCACCATTTTGGGTTATTTCTGGCACATCATGTCTCTTAAGAGCACCTGAGATGGCTTCAAGTCCCAGATCTGTCACTGACTGTCCCTTGGACAAATCCTATCACCTTCCCCAGCCTCAGATACTGAAGGAAGGAGGTTGATAAGATGCTCTCTATGGTCCCTTCCAGTCCCAACCCTCTGGGATTTCCCTTCTTAAAACAAGGGCGAGCAGCTACTGAAGCAGAGGTCCTGACTTTGGGGTTTGACCTTGGGAAAATTCCCTTCCCTCTTTTTCATTTACTCATCACTAAAATGAAGGAGTGTGTTATCCTATTGTTTTCAAACGTTTTAAGGCATGGCATTTTTAAAAAATGCAAACTAACATCTAAAACAGGTAGGAGTGGAGCTGCTTTGAAATAGGAGTGTCCAAAAGGTACAAAAATTTGCCTGCAACTCCTTAATTTTTTTTTTTTTTACATGCTTGATTTCAAATGTCACTCCAAAGGACACAGGAAATGAGAATCTTAAAGGTAGGGAGGAGAAGCCAATCAATTGACCCATTTCCAAATCATTGCCATGGACTCAAAGTGCTAAAACAAAGGACACAAACAACCACTGCCAGCTCTCTGCCTGGTTAGAAAGGAGGCACAGACACCCACGGAGGGGTCCCCGCCCTCGACGTGCTCCTGCGCACCTGTGTCTCCGGTTCCCACCATAAAGTCCCCAGCCACGGAGGGCTGGGCAGCAAACCGCGAGGCCTGGCCCCTGGTCCCCCGGAGCACGCAGCGGAGCCCAGGACACAAACACGGACTTCAGGTTCCTGCAGAACCAGCCCACCCCTCCTTCGGAATTCAGAATTCGCTGGAACATTTCCCACCTAACACTGTTACCCAGAACATCTGCGTGGCTTTCCACAGCCAGGGCTCTGCACACGTCTTTATTTTTCTTACATCTGAATTCATCACCCTCCACGTGGTGAGCAAAACGTGCGGAGGTTTGTAGAGAAAGAGTGAGTACCCTGCTTCCTCTGTGTCAGGGAGACACAAAAACCCATTGAGAAACCCTCCGAGAGAGGCTCCAGGGGTGAGCCTTTGCGGGCACCTGGCTGCCTTCTGATTCGGAAGCCAGAACAGCTGACCTTTCGGAACCAGAGAGAAACCTTTTATATTCTGAGGCAGCCGATTATTAGATTATTATTGTTATATGTTAATGGCTCTAAAGCTCCTCTAAAACCATGTCCTGGAGTTAGAGCTTCCTTTTGTATTCCCTCAATACTTATTTGGCTTATAAAAATGCATGAAATCAGTAGTCACTCTGCAACCCCAAACATGTTCCCCTCTCAATCTCACTGTCTGGTGACGATTCTCTTTATCAATCTCAAGATGGCAGCTGAACCCACTGCACCATGGGCACCTCCCTTTTGTCCTCCCATCCCCACCCACTTGTCCTATTCTGTCCTCTTGAATTTAAACCGTCAACTCTCCAGTGACAGACACAGCAAGCTGGGAGGGGAGGGAGGCCGTGCTATTTATAATCCGGCGTCGTTCGCCCTCAGAACACGGCCATTTTTTCCAGGCCACCTGCCAGAGCCACATTCCCCAGGCTCCATATATGGGCCTCCCCACAGGTCCCTGTGGCCATAGCCTAGCCTATGGCAAGTCGGGAAGGTAAGGCCCAATCTGCGCCTCTGAGGCCTAAGAGAGGCCAACACAGGCCTGGCAGCCTGGCCTCCCCCCGCGGGGTGATCTGAGACAGGATAGAGAGCGTGAGGAGCCCTGGGGTACCGGCCTGACAGAGCTTGGAGAGCAGCCGGCTTTCCCTCAGGGCTTGAAAAAGAATGGTGAGAAAAAAAAAATGTATTCTTGCTCTAAAACATTAGGTCACCCCTTTTTTTGCCAAGTGGTTTTCAATTGTTTCCATCGTGATGTGACTGAGGTCCATGGCGGCCTTGCCAGGCCCTGAGGGCTCAGAAAGCTGGATTTATGGACGCCTTTAGATAGGCAGATGGGAGGGAAAGCCCAGGAGAACAGGCAAGCCAAGGCAAGGGAGCTAGGCTCGGCCACGCAGGTATGCTCTGCGGGCTTTCAGCTCTGAGTAGCATATATTAAGGACACAGAAAGAGAGAAGTGCCCGGCCTCTCACGGGCATTTGGACACGAATACTCCACTGCCTTCTGAAAGCCAAGCTCGGAGGCAAGAGGAAGGACCTGGCCAGTTTACAACTCTGGGCTCTTCTCATCTCTGTCCTTTCTATGTCAACGCCTGTGGGGCCAGGCTGGGGCCACCAGCGTGCGGGTGGCCTAGAGAGCAAGAGACCTGGAAACTGCCCTCTAAGTTCACATGGGCGAGTTCACTTCAAGCTTTTGAACCATGTCTCTAAAACCTCCTCAAGAACTTTCTGCTGTGGACACAGCTATGTCAAATCAAGTTCAAGTCTTTCCTCTAAATAGCCTTCGGTGGCTACTTGGACATCCCTTCCTTAGGATGGAGAGCATCTGGTCTTATTATGAATTGCTATTAATGTTAATAATAACAGTTTGGCTTTACTGAGTGCTGACTGCATGCCAACCACTTAACATACAGCATCTCATTTAATCCTCATAGTGACCCTGAGAGACGGGTGTTATTTTGAAGGTGAGGAAACGGGGGTGCAGAGCAGTGAAGTAGCATGTCCAATGCTTACCCCGTAGGTAAGTGGCAGGACCCGACCCGCGACTGTCCAGCTCCTCACTCCCAGCCTCTCTGCTGTAAGCACTCCTCCCCGCCACTCACTCCTGCAGCCTTCATTGTTACTTTTTATCAGTAGCAGGTGGAGGCCATGTCTTAAACATCTTGCCTCTCCTTCCCTGAGCATCTAGAACAAAGCAGACCCACGGAAAATCTTCACTCATGGAAGCGGTTCTTCCGCCAGGGGCACCCTCTACCTGCCAGCTCTCTTCAACCTAGGACAGTTTCTGATCCTCTTTGGATTCCGTGGCCTCTGTAATCCTCCCTGAGCGGCCACGGTCCTGCATCTGAGGAGGTCCCAGCCATCCCTACCGTTACTGGCTTGCCTGTGACAAATATGGGACTGGCACTTCAGCTGGGGAAAAGCAGCAGCAGGAGTTGATCAATTCCTAAGCAACGAAGATCCTGTTTTCATGCAAACGTCCTCGGCGTTAAAACAAAAACAAATCCCTCCCAGGGAGTGTCCTAGATGCCAAGACACATTTTTGAGTGAGGTTTTGCGCCTGCGCGAGAGACTAACAGGGATGAGAGGAGAGAGTGCGTGCCAAGTGCCGTCTGGTAGACTCTCATGTGAACCTCAGAGCCGCCCCGCCAGCTTGCACCGTCAGAGCCCGACTTGACAGATAAGGAAATAGGCAGTGAGAAATGAGGGAACATGCCCAGTGTCAGTCAGCGGGCAAATGGCGGCCAGGGGACGTGACCAGGTCTGACGGAAGCTGTGTCGTTTCTGACACAGGCACCGGGATCGACTGTGAATACATTCACCTTACGGAGACTGCGGTATGACCACGGACATTTCGAGTGACTTGCTCTTCACATCACCAGATAAAAAGAAATTAGGATGGTGCCCGACTGCCATCTCTCCTTACAAAAAACGAGACCCGGGTGTGAATCTGGATTAAATGTCAGACTTGACTAAATGCTGTTTAATCTGTGACACTTACAAAGTGCTCGGGAGTGTCCTTGACTACTTGGCTCTAGGCGTGGGCTTGGCCTCCTTGCCTCTGAGGCCAAGAGCAGATAAAGAGAGGAGACCAAGAGGGATGTTACGATGTAATACAGGACCTTTGGGTGGAATGACAGTAAGTGCCCTGAGTTCTGAAGAAGTGAGACCTCTGAGGGCTTCCTGGAGGAGGGGATATTTCAATTCAATTTAGGAGGTCTCGTAACAGCTCTGGCCTGATTCTGGAGAAGCTGGGTGCCCGCCAACACCAGTGCTACCGGCATGTCACCAGGATCACCGGGCCTGCCTGATGGTTACGGAAAGTGTCCACAAAGCATCTAGCCTCCAGCTGGTTCCAGCAGCTTTGTCCTTTGAGATCATAGATGCCCAAAGGCCACACACCTAGGGGCAGGCCACATGATTCACTTTTGGTAAATGACCTGTTATACCAGGCTTGTGGCATTCTAGTGCTGTAAGGTTATCCGGTACCACCCTCTTACTGCTCATGCCTCGCCCCAGGCTCATGGTCCAATGAAGACTCCAGCTCAAATCTGTTTCCTCCCGCTCTGAGATCCCCTGTGCAGCCCCAGTCTCACCCTGAGGGGGTAGTAACCGGCTTCGGCACATGCTCTGATGCCCCTGGTGGGCCCGGAGCACAGAGAGCCTAACCACCGGCTGCAGCCTTCCCAAGTCAGCCTGAGAGCGATTCGAGGGTGGGGAGGAGCTCCCAACGCATCTCTCTTCCTAGTGCCCAGGCAACGGTCTGGTGCTGCGGAAGGCGAGTAGGCAAGTCTGGCAGGAAAATAGGGCCCACGAAGGGGTTTTGTGCAAGTTAAAAGTGACGAGAAGCAGCTAAGAAGAGTGGGAAGAGATGGACTCTGTGTACCAAAGACCCGGTCTGGCATCGGACACTGTCACTGTGTCAGGGATTGAGAGAGCTCCCCTTTTCCTCCCAGCGTTGCAGCTGGACTACATTTCCCAGCCTTCCTTGCAGTTAGGAGTGGTCATGTGACTGCATTCTGGTCAATGGAACATGAATAGAAGAGATGTGGGCCAACTCCAGGCCTCGCCCCTAAAACCCTCCCACTTATGGTTCTCTCTCTTTCTCCATCTACCAACTGAATGGAGAGAGCGCCCAGGATTAGAGGGAAACAAAGCCACAAGAAGGAGAGAGCCCGGGTCCCTGAATCACCGTGTGGAAGGCCGCCTGCCAAACACACACCCTGAATCGCGTGAGCAGGAAGTAAACCCTAAGGGCTTAAGCTATTAAAATGTGGGGGCAGTTACAGCTCTTAGTCCAGCTTGACTAATACAGTCTCTTACTAGCCATGTGGCTCTGGAAAAGTTTCTTAACCTACCAGAGTTTCAGTTTCCTTCTCTGTGAAATGAGAATTAAAAAAATCTTCCTGAGAACCACCAAGGTCACCCTTGTCAGCCTCCTGCATTATAACTTCTGTGAGTCCGAGGCCCTTTTGCCTTCACCAGTCCCGTTCTGCATTTTAAAAAAAACCCCAAATGCAAAAAAATTTAAAATTAGGGTTTACAGTTATAATTGCTATAAAGATGAATATAATCTAGGCTGAATTCATCATGATGGTTATCATTATTATTTTTATATTTGATTTTATACTCACTATTATTATATTCATTTTTTTCTTCCGATTTTAAGAGAAATTAAAATTAAACATTTTCTGGGGTCCTAAAGCCGTGAGCCCTGGGCACTCACTGTTCCTATTGTACTTAATGGAGAAGCCAATCCAGCTTACTATAGCACCTGGCCCGCCACTCACGCAATATGTGGTAACTATGGATATTAAAAATAATAATAGGGAGATGGAGGCACGAAACAGCGACAAATGGTTATGAAGCCCTTTCATACGTCTCATTTTCTCCAGCTCTCGCCTCCATTGTCTAAGATGCATGTCGTCTGTATTTTCTGAAGCAGAGAAGTGAGGGTCAAGGAGACTGCGTTATGCTCAAGAAAGGCAGGGCATCCACCACTCGGTGCTGTACGCATGGCACCTTACGTCAGCCACCATGCTAGGCACCTGTCTTATTTTATCACATTTAATTTTCACAGCCCGATGATGAGGTAGGTTTCTTACTTAACCCCATTTTATGACTGAAAAAAGAAACTGATGCTAAGGACAAGGAACTGAGCTCAGAACCGAAACCACTTCTAGTGCTGAATCTAATGCTCCTTCCACCACCTTGCCTTTCCATCTATCAATAGCTGTGTCGTGAGAATTGATAAAGGGCAGTGTCTGTGGAGGGTGTCAGACACCCCAACACCTTCCGCAGAGCAGAGAAGAACCTGCTCAGGGCTGACATGCGAGATTATGCTTTCTCATTCTCCACCCAAATGTACTCTTTAGAAAGTCTAATTATAGTGACTTCTATTTTCTTGTAAATAACCACATCTGTCATAACTGATTTGACTGATCTGAGGCTCCAAGTTGGCAGTCTTGGCGGCCTGAGCCAATGTGTCAATTATGCCAAGGAGGCTGTAAGCAAAAGTTTCACAAATGGAAGAGAGAAAAGAAAAATTAGTCACAGGCATATAGATGGTGGGGATCGATACATGCTTTTTCACAACAAGGAAAAGCATATAACTTAACATGGCCGATGAGTGTCAAGCCCTTAGCAACCCAACTTAGTAAAAACAGAGCCAGGCAGATCCCAGGAAATGAAAACCATCTTTTCAGTGAAGACTCAGTTCTAGAAACTGGCTTCTTAAATAGCTTTCGAGTCTCAGTAGATACTTCCAGGAATTTGCCATAGCCCTTAAAGCTTGTTTTCAGGGAGAAAGGCAGAAGGAAGTGCTCCCATGATTCAAGAATGTAGTCTTAAGGGCTAGATTCAGAGTGCGGCTGTTCAGCCGGCATCAAGTATCAGCAAGAACTTTGTATCTGGACTTACGTACAAGTCTACCCTCTCCACCCCAACCTAGCGGTAGTGTGACTAAGGAAATCACTGAGGCTTCCCGAATCCATCTCAAGCTTTCTCTTCTGTAAGTGCTGACAACCTAGAACTCTTGTGGAACTGATGGTATAATGACTGTGTGTGACAGCCTGTTGGAAAGTGTAAGCACTGCATAAATGCTAATCATCATCCTTATTACTCACGGATCAGCATATACTGAGTCCTGTTTTCAATCCATGGCTTCTTTCTTTCCTCAAATAACTCTAAGTAGAAACGGTCACGCTTTAAGTCAGAGAGGGGTCGTATGAGAGATGGGATCTAGTTGGGACTTCTTTCATAGGAAGGTGTTTGAAAGTCATTTTATCCACCATGCTCTGAAAGCCCCTGCATCCGAAAGGAGCATCTTCCAGGTGGGAACGTGGGAAAGTGAACAGCGCCTCTCATCTACTCCCCACCTGCCCACCGGAAATGGACACATGCTTTCCGCGACCCGATTCCTGTAACCTGCCTTGGGTCTAGCTGACCTATGCGAGCAGAGTAATCAGAGCAGAGAGGCTGATGCCCTACTGACTAGGCTCTGAGTTCAGCTCAGTTGTTTACTTATGGTGTGACCTTGGGCAAGTCACCGCACCTTTCTATGCTTCAGTTTCCTCATCTGTAAGATGAGGGTAAGAGCAGTACCTGTCCAGCCCTTGGGGTGGTGGAGAAATAAATGAATCAACACATGTCAGTGGGGCCAGGCCAATGGGAACCAATCGGTATGGGTTGGAATTTACTACGACTGCGGCGACATTCACATTACAAGTCAATGGCCTTCCCTCCCCCATCCAGTATCTATTAACACGAGTGTTTAACATGTTAACCATCTTCAGATTTTCCACATTAAACCCCTTACTAGAAAGAACATTCTGTGGTCCACACAGAAGATCTGGCGGCAAGAATAGTGTTAAAAGCTCCATGATCTGTATCTGAATCTTCAAGAGTCACCTCCTTCAACAGAAGTTCGTTTCAAAGGCAGAGATGTTGGAGAGTTCTGGGTTTAGAATCAGAGGGCCGAGTCCTAGCCCAATGCCATTTTCTCTACTTTGTGGCCTTGGGCAAGTCGCTGCCTGTCTCTGAGTATTAATTTTCTTGGATGTAAAGTAAAGGGGGCTTTTGGCTATAAATTTCAGTTTACTCATCTGTAAAAAGGGATAATAAGAACTATCATAGAGGTGCTATGAGGTGTAAACCAAAAAACTAAGATGGATGAGGCATTCTCCCTACATCATCCCATTAATCCTTAAAAGAAGCCAACGAGGCAGGTGTTACTTTCCCCCATTTTACAGACGAGGAAATTGAGGTTTTAAGGCCAGGTGTCTTCATGTGTCATGGCAGCAGTGTGAGTTCCAAAGCTGCACACTGGACGAATTCTAGGGCTTACATTTAGGTCTTCATTTAAATGACAAATAAAAATGTGGATGGTTTTCTAAAGCAATGGTTTTCCTTTGCTTTGCGTCTATCACTATTTCTTCAGAAAATGCCAGTGCAACATTGTAACAACATTGGCAATCTTTGTTAACAATATAGCTACCGATGTGGAGCTCCAATCCAGACTGGTCAGGTTCAAATCCTGATAAGGTCACTCACCTACTGACTCTGGTATCCTGGCAAGTTACACCCCTCCTTGTAACTGATTCCCAGCTGTGAATCTGGAAGGAGTGTGGTGAGAATCATGGATTATGAACGATGAATTATGTGGGTTAACAGATGGCTTTGTGGTCACAGCCAGTGCTTTTTATAGGTTATTATTATTTGTTAGTTCTGTTGTTGTCTAGTCCTCTACAGTTTACCCAAGTCGTTCCCCTTATATCATATGTGGTTCTTGTATCTAAGAGGAGTCAGGGCGGAAGTGATCATTTGCCTCTTAAAAGTATTTAAAGGTATAATTATTACCCCATTTTACAGATGAGTAAGTATACTGAAACTAAAATAGTGACCCACCCAAGGTGACAGGATGGTTCAGGGTCAGATGTAGTCACTAAGACCCATTTGAGTTCTTCTGATAACAAGGCTGGGTGGCTTTTATGTTTGTTTGTTTGTTTTTATTTCCTATGCTGCACTTCACATCCCTGTGACTATTTTGTAACTTGCGATTTGTACTTCTTAATCCCTTCACCTTTTCAAGGGCTGGATGACTTTGGACAAGTCGCGGTATCTCTCTGAGCCTCATCTATAAAATAAGAGGGCTGAAGCTGAAGCCTCAACTCTATCATCTCCTGACAGAGAGACACTAAGTACCCGACGAAGCGAAGGTATCTAGAGACAGATTCTGGACTTGAATTAGGGGTCTTCCACTCACGCCTGGGTGACAAATTACTTGAGCAAATTACTTAATGTCCCTATACTTCGGTTTTCTCATCTGCGAAATGGGGCTAATAATAGAACCCGCTCTAGAAGGTACTTAGGGGAACTGAATGAGTAAAGCCATGTGGCGTCTCAGGACAAGGCTGCCATTGTTACTAAGGCTCACGTGGCCAGCTCAGCCTCCCACACCCTGGTCGGCTCTAAGCCCTGCGTGTCAGTACCAGATTACTCTCCTGATCTTGGTGTACCTACTGTGCAGGGCATTGCCTGTGGTTTCCAGGTTGGGTGGTCTCAGGCAGAAGCGCTAAACTCTCAAGCGAAATTCAAAGGCCACTTCCAAGTGCCTAACATTTCAATCTGAACGGAAAACCCTAGTTTTCTATTTCCGCCTATACCGCCGACAATGGTGTTTTGCTTCCCTTCCCATACAGTCTGGAAATCCTGAATAAATGTCGAAAAAGAATTCAACAAATATATAATAGTATTAAAACTCTTAGCAGTGAACCATTTCTTATATTACCAGAAGCTTAAAGGGATATTTTCAATTACATTATTCAATAAATATGCTATTTAGGGCTTAAGTGATGTTGCTATAATTTGTAGTTAATAGGTCAGTGGTTCATTCATTCAACTGGAAAATATCCGAGCCTGCCTGGGAGCCGAGCAGCGCCCCAAGCTTCGATGATCCAACAACAACCATAATAGCAGCAGCGGCGGCAAAGGCAGCTCCCACTCACCAACCGCCTCTTGTGCCTGCCTTAGCCTGGCGGATCCGCTCTCCATGCTCCTCCGCTCCGCTCCGTGATGCCTGTGGACTGCTTAGCGGGCATCCTCACCTCACCCCTTCGCTTCCGGGTGAGTTCTACCGGTGGGAGGAACCAGCACGAGATCAGAGGGTCAAAGGACAGTGAGGTCCCAGACCCACTGTGGGACCATAAAAAATGCATCGTTTTGTGCTTCGGCTTCCCCACTCACCTGATGGGGCAAATAGTAATACTTACTCCATGAATGCGACTTAACTGAGTTAACGCGTTTAGAACAGTGCCTGGCCATAGTAGGTATGCAGTAAACGTTAGCTTGTACTACTTATTTTCATGTGGGACAGCCACTCTGCTGCAGCTACGCCTCTCCTGAGTTCCAGTGGCCACACTGCTTCTGTCCCAGGGGAGGGAGGACCTCCAGCTGTTGCTTGCTCTGGGATCCCCATGGCTTGCTGGCTTCCCTGAACCCTGTCTACCCTCTGTGAATGGTCCATTCGTTAATCTCCTCACTACTCCATGTCCTGCTGGGACTCTAAATCCAACACCTGTACATACTGTTCTAGGTGGTTTTCATGAGTTTTCTGTAATGCTTACATCATTCCTTTAAGGGAAGTGTTACTGTGCCCATTTCTACAGATGGAAAACAGGTTTAAAGTTCAACTCAAGCCCCACGATTAGGAAGTGGTTAAGTTGCATTTCAAATTCAGGCCTAACTTTCATACCCAGGCTTAGCTTTAATGCCCAATGAAAATGACACATGCACCTGTGACTTCCCAAATGCTTATAGACAAGAGGTGATGACAATCTTGTGTGATGACTAGTCTCAGAAGTATAAGAACAGTGAACCTGACCGAAGCCAAGGGCACCTAGAATTGGAGTGTCAGTCAGAGATGGCTTCCTGGAGGAGGTGATGTTGCCCTGACTCATAAAAGATGCGGAGTTATTCTGAGAATGAGATAGAGAAACTGGAATGGGTAGAGGAACAGAAGGATGAGAGAAAGAGAGAAGGAGCTTTTCCAAGAGCTGCAAGCCGTTCGAAAATCCTAGAGCAGAGAACTCAATGGGGAGGTGAGGGCAAGAGAGAGAGGCTGGCTCCTCGTGACGAAGAGCCACGAGTGCTGAGCCGAGGAGCAGGGAGCCCGCCACACTTTGAGTGGGAGGCCTGAAGAGCAGCGGAGTTACAGCCCCTCGGGCGCGGCCCACAGCAGTGGCTGATGGGAGCTGGTGAGGAAGTACCACACCTGCCTCGACCCTCAGGGAGAGGACGCCGAGGGGCGCCGCGGCCTTCCCTGGCGCGCAGGTGCACGGTGGGGCTGAGCCCCAGCTGCCCGCCATGCGAACGTGCTTGAAAGCGCCCCATGTCCTGCCCCTTCTCAGCCCAGTGCCGCATCCCGGCTCCTACCCCAGCGCTCCCGTCACTTCTCGAATAAACGACCTGCACTTGAATTTTGGTCTTGCGGCCTTCCTCCGGGGAACCCAGACTGAGACGGTCTGATTCTTGGTTTCATAGAATGAAAGAGCACAGAATGAGGGGGCTTCAGGAGTAAGAACCTTCCAGAAGCAGGGAACACATGGAATCTACAGCCAGTTAATGGAGGAGGTGAGATTTATCCTGTGTGCAGGCCGAGGGCTCTAAGCAGCTGCCATGCATGCGAGGGCATCCAGGATCCTGTGTTCTAGTCTTAGCTCTGGACTCAGCATCATATGCTGGAGAGAACATGGCCTTTCGAGAGGGGTTGATCCAGATATGAATTCAGGCTGGGTCCCAGATAGGCAGGTGACCCCTATAGGAAGTTACGTGGCCTCCCAGCGCCTCGGTTTGCTCAGCTAATGATGTTCAAGTGTGAAAATGTAAATAAAAAACACCTCACTAAGGAACTCTAGGTTCCTTTCTAGTGTCTTTTTAGGAACTATTTATTCTGTGTTCTGTTTCCTGCTCACCTTTCGGTCTGGCAATGATCTCATTACATGGGCAATCCTCTCTGCATTTGTATTTGCCTCCCAGGAGACTGGGGGTCCAGTTTTAATTAACTTTGCATCTCTAGCATTTAACACCACACCTGGCACGAAGCAAGCACTTAATGAATGTTTGTTGAATGAATAAAAATGAAAAGAGTCCCTAAAAAAAAAAATCTACCAGTGATGATAGGTTCTCTGGAGCATGTATTCATTCACTGAGTCTCAGTACTGAGTCCTACTGTGTGCCAGGCACCATTCTATGTACAGACAACACAATTGTGGCCAAAGCCGCCACATTCCTTTCTCAGGTGGCGGTTTACCCTCCTGGGGAGAGAGTGATGATCGTCAACCCAGGCTGCCCAGAAGATGAACCTGGGGAGCTCTAAAGAGGAGTCCCCATACTCCAGAGATTCGAATTTAATTATGTGGGGTGGGACCAGGCATTGGGATTTTAAAAAAAACTTCTCTGTAAATATAACGTGCTTCTAGAGCTGGGATCGAGAGAAAAAGCAAGATTATTTCAGAATGAAGAGGGCTGTGAAGAAGATAAAACAGAGAATGTGGTTTAGCCAGTGGTTCTCAGAGGAGGGGGAGGGACGGATGAACAGTTTGCCCCCAGGAGGACTCTGGCAACATCTGGGGGCATTTTTGCTTGTCACAACTGGAGGGTGGTGCTACCAGCATCCAGTGGGCTGAGGCCGGGGAAGCTGCTACACATCCTAGGATGCAAAGGACAGCTCCCCGTGACAAAGAATGACCTGACGCCACATGTCTATAGAACCGAGATAGAGAAACCCTGGTCTAGAGGGGCTGGGAGCAGGGACCACTCAGGGAAGGCCTCCTGGGGGAGGTGGCAGGGAAGCTGAGTGCCAGCACAAGTCTTTGGAGGAAGTGACGAGGAGCGCTGAATGTGAGGTGGGCCCTAAGCCACCATCACAGCCTTGAACAGAAAGACGCCAGATGGTTGAACCGCCAAGTGTGGCTGACACCACCCACTAACCTAAGAGGACTCACTCCCCTGCTCCCGGTGTCATTCTGGGGTTGTCTGCTAGGGTGGCGCAGGGGAGGGAGGGGGAAATCCGGATGCTTTTGTTTGGCTGCTTTCATTTTTAAGTCTCCCCCCACTCAGAGTCCCCACCCCCTTTCCAGGCTCAGAACCGGAAAGCGGGGAAGGAGAGGGTGTTAATAATCCGGGCTGACCACTCAGATGTCCCCCCGCATAACTGCAGGCTCACTTCCTCCTCTTCTCTTAAAGCATCTCCTGCTGCTACCCCCCCACCCCGCCCCAAAATGAAGGGGAGGGGCAAGGGAGATTTCTTGGAGACATCTTACCAGCTTCCCCCAGCTCTGGCCGAAGTGATTTCCCCAGAGAAACTGGGACCCATAAATAAACACGGCATTCCATGGGAGGAGGGGAGGGAGGGCAGCCCGGCCAGCTCTGTCCCCATCACCGAGATGGCCCATTAACTTTTCCAGTGAGGTGCTGGGCCCTGGGAACCTGCCAGTCCTCTCTGCCCACCAAGCCACCTTCTCTTCCCTCTCTTGCTCCCTCCCTGTAAATCAGTCGCCTTGGGATCTTGGACGGGCGGGAGCAGCACAGAGCAGCCTGCTTGCTGACACCACGTGGGCTTTCCAAGGAATCCTCACGACCGTTCCCTGGGCAATTCTGGTGGAAAGTCAGTTCTTTTGGTACAAAGCTTCCAGAAAGCTCTGAGTCAACCGGCTGCTCTGAGGGAGCCAGGGCGGCCGCAGGCCTCCGACGACAAGCAGCCCTATCCCTACCTGCAGAAAAGCCGCCAACCTGGGTGGGCAGATGCACCCGCCGCAGACTGCTGAGCGGAAGAGTGACTCGGAGGCTGTAAGGCCACTTCCACCTCACGAGTAGGGAAACTGAGGCCCAAGAAGGGACAAACGACCTGGACAGAGTCAGCTGGCAGTGGGCAGCTGAACCGGGTGACCCCCCTGACCCCTGCCTGTGTGTGGAATTTCAGTCAGGCCGCATACTTTTTCCAGAATAGTTCCATGTCGACTCATCCAAACAGAAAGACAGACTGTCCAGAACTGGCAGCCACCTTCTTCCAAATGTGCAGTAGGAGGACACTAAACGCCTTGGTTTCCTTAGACTAGATTTCTCGTCTATGAAACGAAAATAGTCCCCTTGTCTTCCCAGAGTCCCCAAATATAAACCCCATGTCAAAATCCTGCTCATAAGGAAAGTTGTCAAGTCCCAACTTATGAAACTCCATTTCACACAAAGGGACTCGACAGGAAATTTGCAGGAAATCTGTTTATTCAACTAATTATTTTATTAAAAATAATAGGCCCAGTATGCCCTGAGAATTTTATTATGGATACCCATGACAGAGTAGGCAATTAGCAATAAATAGTCCCTTTCTGCGAACCTAGGATTACAATTTTTCATGGGTTGTTATTTTAAACAAACACTCCACAAACATATAGTCTTTTCATTTATCGAAAGCCTTGATTTACAGAGTTGAATATCTACAGCCCAGAACATATAAAAGAAAACAACAGCCTCGATGTATATTTTCTGGTTAAAGTTGTGCACAAATACCTATGCACCATCAAACAAAAGACTCAAAAATACCAAACTTTTCAGTGGTGCTATGTCTTAGCTGGGTGCGTGTCTGTGTGTGTATGCACCTGTCTACACATGATATAACTTCTAGTTGTCGGTTTTTGTTTTGTTTTTATAAGTCTTTCAGGCAAGCCTCCCACATGGCTTTGAAAGAGGAAAAAAAAAACATGTTCTTTGTTCTTTAGCTCCTGCCATTTAATATGATTCTCATCCTCCTTCCCCGCCCCCTGCCTCCCACCTTCCCCCTCCTTCCCTTCTCCCTTGGGAAAAGACTTGGCTTTTAAGTGATCACTAGCTATTCTCATGATTAACCCAATCATTTGCTGTTAACCTGCACTTGGGGTTACCGACAGCACATGGTGCAAAGATATTTCATTAGCTGCCAGAACAAATGACCAATGTGCCAAATCTCCAACAGCTTGTGTCCTGGATAAGGGTCACTGTGGGCCCACTGGTGCTGCCTGCCTCAGAAATTCCACAAATATTTACTGAGCATCTACTCTACACAAGGGGTAGCCATTACAGCTTCGGGGCTCCACTGTGCGCTCCAGGACACAAAAACTACCCCCTCCTCCACCTCCCCGCCGTTTCTGTGGAAACCCAGGGCTGCAGACCCAGCACCAGCTTTCTCGGAGGGTGCCTTGCAGAGAAGAAAAGCTAAGGGCCATCGCGATCTTGCCTACAACTACTATGTGAGCCAGCGAAAGAGGGCAGGGTGGGACGGGGCTGGGATGGAAGGGACATACTGGTGTGTTCTGTCACAAAGGTCCTCTGAGCTGCAACAGACTCGAGCTGTACCAGACGAGCTCGGGGAAACCGAAAGTACTTGCTTTTTCTCAGAAGTCCCTTCAAATGCCTGTTATTCATGCAAAGCAAAGATGGGTCAGTGGGAAGCAGATGGATAGGACTCTTCCAGAATCTCAGAGGGAAACTGCCTACATCTCAGGATCCAGTCAGGTCGCCTCGACTGAGAGCTTCTCACAGTCAGAAAGACCGTTTTTCTCACTCATCGGACTCCAAGGATCACTCGCTCCTCTACTCCAGAGAGATAACCAAGCTATGCTATTACTTTCCGGGGACCAAACTCCACAATTTAAACCATGAATACAAAAAAGTGAAGGTCGCTAAAACAATAGTTAACAGACATACTTCTCTAGATGTGTATCTCTCTCACCTCCACCGCCAACAGTCTGAAGTGGTTAGCTTTGTCAGAGGACTTGGCATGAAATTCTAACACTGAAAAACAACGAAGGAAAGAACAGGGTTCTAGCCCAGGTTCCATTGCTGGGAACTGGACGTGGCACGTGTCCTTCACCTGCTCTGTGATGCAGGGAAGAATGGCTGCTGCCTCAACCAGCCCCTCACACCCGGGGGGTTCAGTGGGAGATGTGGCCTGTGGGCTCTCCTGCTCTGGGCACCCTAGGATGGTGAAAAGGCTTGTCACAGGTGTAAAGGGCATTGATGGGTAAAGCGCTGTATCTTTAACATTCCTGAATGTAAGCGGAGAGGAGGGGAGCATTTTTCCTATCATGGATAAAATATGTTGCCCTGGAGTGAGCTCTGAGATTGAAACTTTTAAAAAGAGCAGAGGGCCCCTAGGCATTTCGCAACCTAGAGAGAGCTTCAGTTTCCTTTCCTACGAAACCTCAGGGGGCTGGAGCAGGTGATCGCAAATGTCGGCCTTAACACTGGCTGGCTGTTTGAGACAGAAACCAGTACAAAGCTGGCAACCAGCAAACGCTAGGCTGGTCGATCACAGAACCAACCGGTTGAAGAGGGTTTTTACTTTTTTTTGAGCAGAACCAGATGCCATATGCAATGTTTCTGGAGCAAAAATTCAATACATAATCATTCCTATAAGGAACGATCAGGCGTCTTCAGTGATCTTTCAAGGCCATTTTATAAAATCTAGAGAGTTCCACAGAGAAATAAACAAGTCTAGAATAAAAGCAGTATTTCGTTCACGACTGTAGTATCTCTAGTATTTAGCATGGAATATTTCCTGTATGAAGAAGCAAAGTATCCGGCATCCATCACACTTCTGACACCTTGAAATGTAGAAACAGCCAAATACACAATAAGCATTCAACTATTCACCCGAGTAGCACTGGTATTTAATCCCTGACCTTTTCAGCATCTCCCAACATACTCCCGACTCCCGAAGTCGAGGGTTGGGTTGAGAATCAGCAAGATCTGCCTGTGAAACAGGGCTCTGCCCCTTCCTAGTTGTGTTTCTTCCATCTCTCTGAGCCTCAGTTTCCTCGTCTATTAAATGCAAATAATCTGGCCTCTCTCCGGAGGAAAGTAACAGTAAGGACCTCCCGGGGGCACTGCGTAGAGAACATAAATTAATCCACAGTGTGAGAATCTGCCTGGCGCAGTGCACGTATGTGGTAAATGCAAGCCATTAGAGTCACTCTGATTGTGCTCAGCATCATTAGTGCTTGGCAATAATTAGGGGCTCATTAAATGTTAATTTTCTTTATGCCAGACTGGATGCTCGACGTAAAACCAAATTGTAATGGTATTCTACAACCTCTAAGGAAGGTAATTATGCTGCAGTGAAAATTTATTTGAATGTTTGGTGGTCTTTCAGATCAGGACCTCTCCTCCACATACCACTGGGTGGGACAACTGAGCGCCTTCCTTAGAGCCAAAAATGGCACAGGAAGCTCCATTCAGGTCTGGGCTTTGTCACTGATACTCATTTCTCACTGATGCCCTGAGAGGCTGAGAACAGTGACTTGCGAAAGCAGCACAGCCAGCCCAGGGCTTCACTGGACAGAGACATGTCACAGCTACTCACTGATGCCCTGAGAGGCTGAGAAGAACAGTGACTCGCGAAAGCAGCACAGCCGGCCCAGGGCTTCACTGGACAGAGACATGTCACAGCTGCCAAATATTCATGTGCTCCCTCACATCTTCCAGGCTCCTTGCAGTTAGTCAAGGCTGTGTGAGCAGAAGTGACACCTTTAAAGAGTGCCTATGTGACCCTTCAATTTTCTTTTCCTTTGTTCCAGCAGCCTGGATCTGTTTCAGATGATGTGGCTACCAAATTCAGGCTGCCTGGATCCCTAAGTCACAGCTTGGAAGTAGGCTACCTTGAAGAGCTGTTGTCTTGAAATGCATTTCATGAAGGTAAGAAATAAACCTTTCTCTCTTAAACCACTAGGATACCGGGGTTTATTTGTCACTGCATCATACCTTGGCCTGAACTGACTACTCATATCTCTTATTCAGTGTCTATTTCAGAGGGTTCATGCATGTTCGTTGCAGAATCCTCTATTACTTCACACACACACACACACACTAACTGAAATCTCAGTGAGGCCATTTTTCTTATCACACAAGCTGGCCCAGCAAGATTATTAGGATTTAGTAAAACTGATTATCTCTCTCGTGACATGTATTTTTTTCTTCCCTCCCTAGAGAAAGAAAAGTTAGTGACAAAACTGCAAGAGGACAATATCTTGAGGGGGAGGAGCTGTATTAGTGCCTAGAAGCACCTTCTAAGGGAAAGGAACAAAATGCTCCTGTTACTAATTCTAGTTGTATGGCCTTTCTTGAGGTATAAGCAAAATCCTGAACTTTGGAAGGGAATACAGAGCCAGGGTCTCTGTGTCCCATTTGCTAAGGTACTTAACGCAGAATCTGAATACCCTTTACTTAACACTCCAGCACTGTGATGTGGCACATACCTGGGCACTGATGTCACTCAGATCTGGCGTTCAGTCCCAGCTTGGCCATTTACTATGTGACTTGGACAAGTTAATTTCTTGCCTCCATTTCCTGATATGTAAAATGGGTATAAAAATTTCTACCAAGCAGGGTTATTGGGAGCACTAAATAAAATAAAACAAGGTGGAGTACACGACACGCTTGGTTCAACGGCTGGCATACAGCAGCTGGTTTAGATCTGTTTGTTTCCTTCCTTCCTAGGCCTTCAGAGTTTGGTGTCGAGCTCAGGCTCAGTCAAAAGAAAGTTTAATATTGGAAGTAGTAGTAAGATCTCGCAAAAACACCTGTGATACTGCTTTAGCTGCCACAACGTAAGGTGAAGGCAGCATTCCTAGGAGAAAAGAAAAGCCAAGTCAGAGAGAGGAAGTGGATCCAGATCACACACAGAGGCCAGATGTCCAGACGAGGTGTTGGGGCTGGGTGGGTGAGGCAGGCAGACTGGCAGAGTTTGGCTAAGACACCCTGAACCTGGGACAAAGCCAGCCTGGGACCAGAAGTTTCCTTGACTGCTTCCTGTTAGGCAAAGGTCCAAGGCAATGCTCTTCTGGGTGGTGGCAAGTACTAGCCACCAGGGGCAGGAGTGAGCAGCAACTCTTACTTCCCTAACTTGTTCTGATCCCGCCCCCTCCCCCAGCACAGGCTTCCAAACAGGCTCTGGTGAACTTACTCAGTCACATAACCATCCAATCATGTGAGACATTCACTTTGAACCGGCTTAGTGGGCCAGCCCTGTGCTGGCGCTGGTAACACAGAGACAAAGAGGAAACGCTCCCTTACTGTGGAGGGGTGGTGCATCGCTTTTCAGGGAGACAGATGTGCAAACAGATCAAAATCCACATGCTCAGATTTCTAAGGGGTTAACTCCAGGGAACCCTGGCTTCTCAGAGGAGAGAACAAGTATCTGTAGTTTTGCTAAGTTTGGGGAAGGAGTCTTCCCTGAGAGCAGGACCTATGTGTGGAGAGGAATAAAAAGGAAGAGAGGAGGCACATTTGGGGTTCGGGGGTCGGTCTTGTGTGGCCAAAGTGTGAGGCACATGACAGAGGGGGAAGTGGTTACAGTAAAACATACACAGTAGGTAGAGGTCAGCTCACGGTGAGTCACCATGCCAGGGTCAGGCTCTTGAATCTGACGCTCTGGGTTGGAAGTGGCTAAGTGGCAGTCATCAGAATGGATAGGAAAGCCAATTAAAAAATTGATTTTGAATGCTTTCAGACTAGGCATATGCTTTCGACTCTGACACATTCCCCACCACTTCCTACCATCCTACACTTGACCCCCTCACTCTTTTACACCACCCACACAGCCCCTGCAAGCATTTGGGTTTGGGACTCCTGGGCAACCTGTGACCAGGGGAGGTTTTTAGGAAGATAATGAAACATGGTCAGATTTGGTGTTCTGGGGCCACGCATCAGCGGAGTTGAGGCAGGAAGAGGATGGTGACAAATGCCACAATATGTTTTCTTTCCAACAGGACTTTTTCCTTTCCTCTTATTGGGGGGGGAAAAAAAAAAAAGCTAAACTCTGGGTGTCTGCTGACTTTGGAGCAGTGAGGTCCAGCATGACTTCCCCCTCCTATTTCAACACACAGAGATTTCTCTCTTTTGTTCAATTCTATTTATCAATTAAACAACTATTTATTGAGCAACCACTCGGCCAGAGCTAGGTGTTCGGTGGCAGACGATGGGGGGTGGGGACGTGGAAATCAAAGCACAAAGCCTCAGTGTCCAGCCGGCCTGGGGACTCTCGTGGCATCAGCACATGAGACCACTGATGGATAGTATAAGGGAGCAGGCTTCAAAGACACACGGTGACCCAACAGCACAGACAGCCTGTGTTTGGATGTGCCAGCAGGTGCGTGCCAGGTGTGGCACGTGCACAGCACTGGGGAGGGCACCTTTGGTCCTGTGGTTCTGCCAGCAAGCTGCCTTCCCCTGAAACAGGACTCCTGAGCTTCAGTTATCAAGCTGAGTCCATTTAAGCCATGTGCAGAATCCATGTGGCCTTTGGCTGAATGAGCAAGAAAGCTCCATCATTTCTGTCATTTTGTAACTGTCACATATCGTCTATATCCAGATATCTTGAAGCAGATTTGCCAAATCTCTTACCCGGATCAATCAGTTGCCTAGCCCAGTTAATGCCCTATACATCATATCTGGTACTTATTATGCTCAAATAAATATCCGTTGCTCATTTGAAAGTTGCCTAAACTGTCTCAAAGTTCCTTTATTTTCAGGGGAACTTTGGGGAAACTATACTGGGCAGTCACTGGTGATTCCATGTCCCTAAGTGACCTGTCCCTGCCCACACAGGACTCCCCATCAGCTACTTCTGGCTGCGGTCTGCCTGACGTGGATAAAACTGCTCCAGTCTCAGATTCCCCAGACCAGTGTTGGAGTTCTGGCTCTGCCCTTCACACTATCTGCTCAGCCGGGTTGCTTACAGATGATCCAGGCTATGGAGTAAGGGTGTGTGGAGCTGCACAGAGTGGGCATTCAATAAATTCGAAAAAAACCCCAAACCTACGCATAAGAAAGCCCTTTGTCAGCCCTGAATGCATGCCCATTCTTGCTGCTATCCTGAGCGCCTGCTGGTGGCCCAGCTACTGGTTCTTAGTGGTAGCGGAGGAGCCACACCCCTCTCGGTGGGCAGGAGGGGCTCGTGTAGTGTGAGATGCCTGGTCTCCAGAAACCCTGGACAAAGGACTTCCCTCCTCTGTGCTCCTTCACCTGTTTGGTACGGATAACAGAGTCCCCAGGTCTCTTGGGGATATCATGAGCTCACCCGCAAAAAAGCACTCAGGAGTGAGTCTGTGATGTCACTGAGAGCTAGCTACGCTGATCGCAATAGTTGTTGCTAAGTGCCGAGTGACTGTGACCTCCCTGAGGGCAGGGCCGTTGTCTTCTTCTTCTGGCAGGTGCTCAGTACATGTTTGCTGATTGGACAGAGGAAAAGAAATGGGGAGGGGAGGTACTGTGACAGAGCTGGCCAGTCAGCAAAGGCCCGAGGAAACAGAAGGGCCTTCAGCCAGACCGTGCAGAAGAGGAAAAGCCATATTCTGCCATGTGATCATTAGCCTCAGGCAAATTCCCTTACTTCTCTGGGCCTTGGTTTTCCCAAGCTGGACCAGGGGACCCTAAACTTTCTTCTAGCCAGGACGCTCCTGATCCTACTAATACGCCATGTTGCCGCTAGTCTCACCCCTGCCGTGTCCTTCCCTGTGAATTTCACAGGACATTGACTTTGCACCGGGGGATCCACGATCCCATTTCGAAACGTGCAGAAGTCAGGCCGTGCTCAGGCTCAGCCCTCAGGATTTGGATTTCTACCATTAACCGACTGATCCCAAAGCACCTCCACTCTGCGGCTCTGCGCCCTAGCGCCCTCGCTTTTGGCAACAGTGTGAGTCTTCCAGCTGCCCCGACCCGTGTGCCTGTGCGAGAAGAGACGTCGCCCTGTGCTCAGAATCAATTCTGTAACACAAAGTTCTCCCAAAGAAAGTGACAGGCCGTTCCACAGGACAGTGAAACCCCAGCGCTCCCTCCTAGGGGAGGTCAGGTGAGGGCTGTGTTGCTCTCCCTCCCCGCCTGAAGCTGCCACCAGCCCTTCCCCGAAATTTCTGGGCCAAGAGGCAGTCTCTTTTTCCAGCTTCTAGCCGTCAGTCTATGCCCCTCCATTATCCACCCTCCTCCCCCACCAAAAAAGCAAAGACACACCCCATCCCTTCCAGCGCTGACATTCTAGCCTCTCCCTGCCCCCTCTGGGCCATCACCTACCATAAACAACTCGGCCATGACATCCAGCTCAGACCAGGCTGTGTGCAAATATCTTAAAGGAGCTGTTTCTAAAAAGACAAAGGCGCAATGCAAATGAAAATAATTTCTAAATGTCCTCCTCCACAGGCCAGGGAGATTGCATGGGGGTTCTGGGTACACCCCGGGGCTGGGGGAGCCTGAGATGGCTTTGTCGTTAGAACGATTCAGCCCAGTCTTGTATTTTAAGAACAGCGGGAAAGTAATATCAGCTGAAAGGAGTTTTCTGTGCGCTCTTTAACTAAATGGCTCTACAGCTGGAAAGAGCCACAAGCAGACGTGTTATGATTCATGGGCTCCCAATTACAATGATCCTCTTTTATTGTATAAAAACAGCAACACAGCCATTCTACACCCTCCCAACGCCTGCTCCCTGCATCCCCTTCCTCCACTGGCTGGCAAAGCTGCTCAGCATCCTGAAAGTAGCACCCAGCTTCTCCTCCTCTGTCTCCAACTTTGCAGCTTCCAGCCCACTGGGATTCTTTTTCTCTAAAGACAAGGAGGAGAGAGGGTGGAGAGGGTGCAGTGCCCCCTGGAGAATGTTCTGTTACAGACACCGATAAAGGCTTTGGAATTGTCTTTTGTGGGGGGACTAAGGATCACAGCCACATATTTGGAATTCTCTCCTGTATTGACTAAACTCACATTCACACACACGCACACACGCACACGCACACGCACACGCACGCACGCACGTGCACACATACCCCTACACTCAGACTGTCCAGAAGCACGTTCTACACCTGCTCCTTCTGCCCACACATTCTTCCAGGCTGGCCTCCGAAGACTTCAGAAATACCTGGCGATGACTAAGAGCTTTGGAATCAGAGCGATCTGAGTTTGAATCCTACTCGGCTACCTTCTCTCTGTGACCTTGAACATGGTCCTAGCCTGAGTTTTGATTTCCCGCCTTTAAGATGGGGCTGTCCTACAGCTCTCAGCGTACTCCTTAAGGCCGCGCTGAATGGCACAGTGAAGGAAAAGTGGTTGGCGGTGTCTGGCACGTACCAAAGTCCGCCCTTATCTCAGGTCCCGCTTCCCGCGGTTTCGGTTACTCGCAGTCAACCATGGTCAGAAAACATTACATGGAAAATTCCAGAAACAAACAATACATCAGTTTCGAATTACGTGCCATTCCGAGTAGCATGATGAAATCTCGTGCCGTCTCGCTCCGTCCCACCCGGGACGTGAATCATCCCTTTGTCCAGCGTATCTGCACTGTACATGCTCCCGCCCCTTACTGGGTTGTCAGATTGACAGGGTTATCGTGATGCTGAAGTGCTCATGTGCAAGTCACCCTTATTTTAATGATGCCACATTCACATAACTTGTATTACAGTATATTGTTATAATTGTTCTATTTTATTATTGTTATTGTCAATCTCTTACAGTGCCTAATTTATAAATTAAGCTTTATCGCGGGTATGTCTGTTTAAGAAAAAAACATAGTACCTATAGGGTTTGGTATTATCTGTGGTTTCGGCCATCCACTGGGGTCTTGAAATGTAGTCCTCATGGATAAAGGGGACTGATACAGTAGGTACTCAGTTTTTAGGAGCTGTCGCTTTTCTTAAGATGGCGAACACTGTATGTTTGTGGTGTGTCTGGCTGTGTAGGGAGCTTTGAATCTGTTCGATCTCGCCAGCCAGAATGGACAAGGCTGCGGGTGGGGGTGGGGAGATGGCTATGGGGGGCGCGAATGTCAGCCCCACTGAGGAACGCTTTGCTCAACACTTTCTGCAACACTGATTTAAACCGTCACGTCTGCGCTGCCCATGCACGCGTGCTCCCTCCTCCTTCATTCAGACTTCTGGGCCTTCCTCGGTTTTTCTGCAGATGGTGTGGAGCCCAGAAGCTGCAGCTGCAGCCATCGGATCGGGCCAAGGAAAACCCACAGCGCGAGAGCTGCCTTCACCTCTTCCCCTACCCTTCTCTCTGCGACACAGTCTGTCCCCGGCCCCACAGGGAGGATTCACTCTTAAAGGAGCAACCACGTGGTTACTTTCTTAGGCCCCAGCCATGTACGAACCCACGCCCCACACTGAACTCGACAGCGAATGGCTCCCAGGCCTTTGCTGGTTTCCGACCCTGCAAGGTAAACTCCTCATGGCTTTAAACCCAGGAAGGTGAGCCCAGCATGCATGTCCCAGTTTTCTATCCCAAACCAAGCCTCTGCACCCATAAAATATACCAAAGACCTCATACGCCTAAAGGAATGCCTGGGTCGCACTCTTTAATATCGATCCCCCATGGATCAATAGCACGAGCATTTCATTCACTGCAAATTCTAAGTGTTAATTACTATCGCAGTGAATCGTTGTGTAATAAGATTTAATCTCCGCTAAATGTTTCTGGTACTAGGGGACTGGAATGGGGCAGAAAGAGGAAGAAAGTATATGAACTTTAAGAGGTAAATTGTCCCTCAAGGGGAAAAGACAGGTGTCAGCAAGAAAACGGTTCTGGCCCTGGTCTTCTCCATTCCATTTTAAAGTTTAGATAGAAACTGAAGTACTGTTGTCAGGACTGGGTTTTTTCCCTTGGGGAGGTCTGTTACGCACACACACATACACACTCACACCATTGCCAATCAACCCCTCTTAAACGCATGACTACAAGCATAAGAACAGGAAACAGATCGTGGGTGGATGTTCTTAAAATCACAACGTGTCTGAC